CGCGTTTTTAAAAAATTCACCGTGTGTTTGTATTCGGCTTCGTATTTTGTATGTGTTCGTTTTCCATCAATGTGTAATATTCAAACCATTTTTCGAAAAAAATAATTACTATATTTGAAAATAAAAACAATTTGCAATAGTTTCTCACTTCAAAATGGTTTACAGCGATTAGGAATACTTCTCTAAATCAGTCATTATTAACTTCCCATAGGGTAGTTATAGTAATAGGCCGAAAATCTAACGTTTTGAAGGTTTCTGAACACTTCGCCATACCTCAGAAAAAATGGATGTGTGAGTGTGTTTTGTATGTCCGCATTCTTTCGTCCACGTTTTCGGGGGTATGGTTTAACCGATTTGAATGGTTCAAAAAACATTCGATTCTTATTGTTAGGGAGATGTGCTGATTAGTTTTTGGCAAAGACAGGTCCAGCAGTTACGGAGATACGGAGTAAAGAGTGCAGAAAACACAAATCTAAATAACATTGAGTTTGTAATGATTGTGAGATGAGGTGATTAGTTTTTGGCAAAGGCAGGTCCGGCAATTTCAAAGATACTGAGCCAAATATGCAAAAAATGGCAGTTTTAGAGAGAACTGAGCGACCGGTTTGAATGATTCAAAAAACTTTCTGCTTGTTTTGACAAAATAATTGCTTTTCAAAAAAAAAATTGTTTAAAATTTTTTTTTTGTATATAGAAAATAATTTAGATTTTAATTTTAATTCTGACTAAAGTTTAAAACTTATATACTATAAATAAATAGTTTTAACTTTGCAATTCAGTTTATATAGTTCTTATAAATATTAGACCCTGTTAAAATATTTATAATAATCTATTTGAAAACATTTAATATTCCTCGAACATTTTGTTACGGTACGGGAAGTTCCAGCAATTTGCCTTAAGGCACGATGCCAAACACCACTAGTTAACTTCCCGTAGGGCAAGTTATAGTAATCGCAAAAAAATCGAAAATGAAAATTTTTATATATCTTTACGTTTCAGAGGTTTCTGAACATTTTGGCATACCTTAGAAAAAATGGATGTATGTGTGTGTGTGTGTGTATGTATGTACGTGTGTGTATGTATGTGCGGATACAAATTTTCGTCGACGATTTCGGGAACACGGATCAACCGATTTGAATAATTCAAAAAACATTCGATTCGTATTGATAAGGAGACGTGCTGATTACTTTTTGGCGAAGGCAGGTCTAGCCGTTCCGAAGATACGGGGCAAAAAGTGCCGAAAACGGTAACAAAGTTTTTAAGAGAACGGAGCGTCCGATTTGAATAATTCAAAAAACATTTTACTTGTATTGACAAGATATAGAATTGATCAAATTTTCATGAAGGCAGGTCTAGCGGTTTCGGAGATCTAATAAAAAAAGTAAAAAAAAATGCCATTGGGCGGTTAAAAATGATCATTAGACATATGCACATCAAATTATCAGATATTTTATAGAGATTTTAACAATAAGTATACATTTTTTTTACATTTCTATGGGCTCCGTACCAATGCTTATGCGTTAGACGGCGGCGCGGCACTTGCGTGCTTTGACATTTCGTCTCTATGCAGTTCAAGCAGTGCGATTGCTTTGAAAAAAAGTTCAAAATTTCCAAAATATGTCAAAATAAAGAAAACATTTTTTTTAAAAAAAAAATTTTTGTTTTCAAAAAAAATTTTTTTTTTTAAAAAAATGTAATATTTTGTCAATTTTATAGTTTCTCAAAAATCTATTTTTTTTCGAAGTAAAATTTTTTCAAAAATGTTAATCGTTTTTAAAAAAATAATAATTTTTGGTACGGGAAGTTCCAGCAATTTGCCTTAAGGCACGATGCCCTAATTGCCTTAAGACAGAATTACACTTACAGCTAGTTTATATATTGATTAACATTTACAGATGTTAATATTACAGAAAGTTCATGCGTAAGGGCCACTCACAGTCAGTTTAATTTTTTGAATTTTGAATGAATTTTTTTTCCTAAACTGTAATAAAACAGCTATTCGCAATACGATTGGAAAATCCTTAAATTTTAGGGATTTTGACTCCGCCATTCGTCTACAATCAGTTAAATATTTAAGTTATATAATGTGTTTGGTGAATGAAATCATTATGAAGTAATTTTGTTGTTAAATTAGTGTTTTATCTAAGTCCTACAACAAGCTCAGGGGGGGTCATGACCCCCGTGACCCCCCCCCTGGATCCGCCACTGTACTCATGTCAAAATTGGATTGCCAAATTTCGTTCTAGTGATTTTTTTTTTACTCAAAAATAGTTGAAGTTGACGATGAACTAATCAAAGCAATAAACTATTCGATTCGTCACAGTACAACACAAGTAAGACCGCAAAGAAGCTTCATCGGGAACTGTAAAGGTAAGGAAATAAACTATAAAGTTATATAATTAATTTAAAAAAAATGGATATAAAATTGTTGTACTTACAGTTAAATACTTACAGACAAATATTAACACATAATTACACTACACTTTTACGATAGCGATTGGTCAAATTTATGTGAGGTCGTGCGTCGTCTTGATTTATGCTGACAATACTACAACTTTCATATTGATCATTTCTGGCCTTTTCTATTGAAGTACATCATTTAGTTTATTCAGCTGATTACAGTTCGAATTAGCAGTTGTGGCTTCTCAAACAATTTCTTTGAAATCTCACCAAACATACAGCATTACTTTTTTCTGCTGAATATCGGCTTCGGAAATGGTTTGAGCCGGTTCACTTTTATTATTAACTTCCCGAAGGAGAAGTTTATGTTTTCATAAAAAAAACAATTCGCTAATTTTATGTTTTCTCGACGTTTCAAGCCATTCTGAATCGAATGAGGCCAAATTTGGACAAAGTATGTGTGTGTGGGAGTGAACAGATTTTTAGACCATACTAAAATATTACGGCCCTACGACACCTCGTTTAACTTTAAAATTCGTCAAAGTTTGCAAAATTGAGTAACGTTTTTTTGGCGTTTGTGAAAATGAGAAATTCCATCGTTTGCTTAAAAACGCCTGAAGCGATTTCAGAAATTTAAGTCATTTGATGCATCTCGATGAGGATTATCGTTTGTCAGTTTTGTGCGACGGTCTGTTTAGCAGTTTCTTTGTAATTTGGAAAAAAAGTGTTAAACTTATCGTCCACATTTAAGCTCATACTACCGAATCGATTTTCAAAATCAAAAGCTGTTCGAAAGATATTAGTTGGGAATGATACTGATTAGTTTTAGGTGAAAATCTACGAGCCATTTTCTTGTAATTAACTGTTGAAAAAAAAATTTAAGCCTATTTTCATGGAACTAAAGTTCTACAGAAACTTGTTCGAATATAAAAAATATTGATTTTTGAAAATTTGCTTTTAGAAAATACTCCGAGTTTACGTGTTCGTTCATTTTCAATTATGTGTAATAAATCACTCACTCATAAATTATTTTATTGATTAAGTCGATTATTTGCACATATCGGAAAATTCATGTAACTCGCCTCAAGGAAAAATACCTATACCAACTAGTTTCATTACGTGCGATGTGTTGCATACAATCCATTTTACGTTCCTATCAATAATTCGTTTAAAAAACGGATCATTTTTGTGACATTTGGGAAGTGAATCGCAGACGTCAATGCAGCGCCGTAGGTTCTTCTCCATGAGAACATGGTGTCCTCATACATCGAGTTTCGTGCATAATCTCAGGCCGTCCAAATGGTCATAAACTATTAAATTTTATAAATTCAACTGGTCTTCCCGAACGTCCCCCGGATCGAAATTTAACTAACCAGTTTTGGCACTGGCGTACGTCAACACACCTTCATGCACATCAATCAATTTCTTTCTGGCTTGGCCAGAATTCTATTGAGCAATTTACCCTATCTGTAGGAGGATTCTATTCCTCCACAATTACACTTTTTATGATATTTTTCTGTCCAGTTCTTTGTTGTTTCACATGCCCAAATATGTTAACATTGGTTCAATTTTCACAAAAATGATTTTAAGTAGAATGTTTTTTTCTGTGATACAGGTGTGTCATATTTTTTTATAATGTTCTCTTCCATAATTTTATTTATTATATAAAAATCCACCATTATCTACTTTTCTTATATATATATTGTTTGTTTAAATATTATTAAGATCATGTTTCTTGACAGATGTCAAGAAGATGGAACGTATTTAGTTCCGAAACGTCGACGTTAAATAAAGAAATGGTTTTTCAAGAAAACTTTTGTTTTCTATTATTTTTGGGATTCTTTGTTCGAAGCTCTACAAAATATTTACAAATCCAAGACTCTGCCATCTAATATATATAGATATATAGTTTGTTAGTTTATTATCTTCAGTCAACCCAAAACTCTGTGGAACAAATATTTTATGGATACTTAAATTAACCATGTAATATAGAACAAAATTGTGATTACCTTATTTTATTACAAATGTTATTCCCATTTACAAAGGATAAATAGTATCTCTAGTAGTTACAAAAAGTACAAATATTGTGAGAATTCATCATCATCATCAAACAATATAAATGTGAGTTATAAATAATTAGTAAATAATGTTTAAAGTCAAATGCAAAACTAGTACTAGTATTAAATAATATAAAACAACGATACATATCATATGATTTAATCTAAAATGATTTTTGTTTTAAATACAAGGCACTTTCATTAGATTCGCAAAAGATGTTACGAACATTGGATGGAAATAAGCAGAACAAATTCCGAAGAAAAGTCGTTAGACTAATGAAACTAGAGAATTTACATAAAAAATACAATTAAAAAATATTTAAAAAAAACAGGCTATTACTTCTCATAAAGTTCTAAAATTAAAGGATGAACAATTCAGATAAAAGATAGTCAATGAGTGGATGTTAGTCTTGTATATTAAAAACATAAATTGCTACAATTATATCTTGCTTAATACTGGTAAAAAGATTTTTCTTGCAGTAACAAATCACGCAAACATTTATAATAATAATGCACTGCATATTAACAAGTTCGATAATGAAATAAATCGCTATACTACACTAATTACGTGATCATTAATGCCAATATTAGGCTTTCATTACCTTAACTAGTAGTATTCAAGAAGTTTTGTCACTTTACAAGGAAAAAATTATACTTGCTAGATATAACTCCAATAATTTATGTTTACATATTGTGAATTTTGGAGAATTCACAGGAAAAAGCTCCTTCACCATAGGCCGGAAGAAAAACCACCTGGTGGTACTCTTTTTCCAGAAAAACCGTTAGTTGCGCCGTTGGTAACGCCGTTGCTGGAGCTGTGCCTGGCTGAATCTCCATTTGTAAAGTTTGCATCTGAAATTGAAAAATTATAATTTCAATTTCAACACAGTAGGTATTCAAAAAGTATGCAAAAAACACAAATTAACAAAATTGATTTATGGTATATATATATATTAGGGTGGTCCTTAAAACGGTCATTTTCGAATTTCCTTGCTCCCAGGGGCTTAAATGGTTCCAAATAGATAAACAATTCTCTGAAAGTTTTAGCTCCTAATATTAACGTTTAGATAGAGCGCAATTCAATCAAAGTTTGTATGGAAAGAGCATGGAAAAAATTTTGAAAATCAAAAAAAAATGTTTTAGGTATAAGTTAGCGACAAATGAATAAGTTTTATTTATTCATTTGTTCGCTAAATTACATCTAAAAAACAGTTTTAAAATTGAAAATTTTTCCATGCTATTTCCATACAAAACTTTGATTGAATTGCGCTCTATCTAAACGTTAATATTAAGAGCTAAAACTTTCAGAGAATTGCTTTTTATCTATTTGGAACCATTTGAGCCCCTGGGAGCAAGGAAATTCGAAAATGACCGTTTTAAGGACCACCCTAATATATATATATATATATATATATATATATATATATATATATATATGCTTACACGTAAATACGTAAATAATTCTATATTACAAGTTTGGTTTATATGAAGCTGTAAATTATGAAATGTAAGTTAAAATGCATTTGAAATATAATTATGACAAATGATCAATGAGCAGATCAAACTATGTATATCATTTTATAAAATCAAACTATCATTTATCAAATTAAAAATAAGTGAATATCTATTGCCTTATTATAGCATACCACTCAAATACAAATATAGAGCTATAACGCAAATATGCATAAATATTTGATAGAATTTCACATTTAAAAATTAAATAGGGTAATAGCATTCGTTGAGTTAGAAATGTTTTCAATTTATGACATATTCATGCAGTATATCGAACATTTCAAAACTTAATTCGAACTGGGATTAATTAATATCAATCGATCACAAATGAATTTATAAGTTACTATATAACGCAAAAACATAAAAGTCCATATAACCTCCGTTAGGTGACGATGGCGTCGAAGCGACACTGTGCCCATTCTGTTGGACCGGAGTGGCACGATCAACATTGTCAGTGGTTCCAATTCCAATATTGCTCTTCATGTGATTTTTGGAAGGCGTGTTAACCACCTTATTGTCGCTGCCGAATAGTCGGTCGTGCGAGTCGATTGCGCCTTTGCGCGGCGTCGGCTGGTTGCCGTTGCTGGCTGGGCCGAACAGGGAGGACTGCATCTGGTGGCGCACGTTGCGCGGCACGCCGGCCGGCGCGTCGGTCACGCTAGCGCCGAAGATGTTGCTGCTCTCGCCGCCTGGAGGTTTCAACACCCTGCAAACGAAAGAAACAATATTATAGACAAATTATAATAAACATTTTTAGCAAAACACTTTAAAACGAACAATTCATGTTTTAGTGCGTTTTATATTGAGTATATTGATTTAGCACTTTTCGCAGTTTAAAACTATTAAAAAAGTTAATTATTCTTAGGTCACATTATAATACTAGAGGGGAATCATAAGATTCTTAAGTATAAATATTTATTATTAATTATTAACTTCCCGTAGGGTAAGTTATTGTAATGGGCCGAAAATCGGAATTGAAAATTTTTACATTTCTCGACGTTTTGTGTGTGTATGGATACAAATTTCCAGTCACGTTTTCGGGCGCACGGATCAACCGATTTGAATGGTTGAAAAAACATTCGATTTCTATTGATAGGGAAAAGAGCTGATTAGTTTTTGGCGAAGGCAGGTCCAGCCGTTTCGGAGATACGGAGCAAAGAGTGCAGAAAATAGAAATCGACTTTTTGAGAGAACGGAGTATCCGATTTGAATGATCTAAAAAACATTCAATTAGTAATGATTGGGAGAAGCGTCTATTAGTTTTTGGCAAAGGCAGGCCCAGCCATTTCGAAGATACGGAGCTAAATATGTAAAAAATGGCAGTTTTTGAGAGAACTAAGCGTCCGATTTAAATGATTCAAAGAACTTTCTGCTTGTGTTAACAAAATAATTGATTTTGGAAAAAAAATTGTATCTTTTTTTTTTTAGTTTTTCTTGTATATCGAAAATAATTCAGATTTTATTTTTATTCTGACTAAAGTTCTAATATAACTCAAACAAATAATTTTAAATTTACAATTTAGTTTATATACTTCTTATAAATATTAGACAATGTTACAATATTTATAATCATATATTTGAAAACATTCAGTATTCCTCGAACATTTCGTTACGGTACGGGAAGTTCCAGCAATTTGCCTTAAGGCACGATGCCACCCACCCCACTAGTTTTTTTATTATTATTCACAGTGTTTTTCAACAATCAGATTACAAAAACAATCTATAACTTGAAAGTAGGCATTGAAAATAAAGACAAAAAATGAAGAAAAACAAAAAAGATTAAATTAATAAATAATAAATATTAACAATAATAATAAATAATAATTATAAATAACTTTTGTGAAACATTTTACTGTATATAACAAAAAAATATGTTGCTCTTGCTGGCATATCTCCATAGCTCTATCCAGGGCCGGATTTAGAAATTTGGCGCCCTAGGGCACTGACAAAAATGCCGCCCCATTTTTTAAAAATTAGAATAACTATTTGATTGCAAAATGTTTATCACTCAATACACACTTGTTCTATGTGTAGATATAACTTTTTTTCTTAATTGCAAAATTTTGCCGCCCGAGAAAATTTGCCGCACTAGCCCCAACTGCCCCTACTGTAAATCCAGCACTGGCTCTATCCCATATGTCCATATTGAAATTATGTTTGGATGATCTTCCTGTGAGCCTGTTCAATTCCTTCATTTTAAGATCTATTTGCTTACTTTTCAATGTTATGTGCATTTCCAGTTAAGTTTTCAATCAATTTGCATATCTAAGTATTTTACATTTATTCAAGTATAATGTAGGGGTTGAGTGGTTTCTTAATGAGACAATAAGATAATGCGATTTGTCGACATTGATTTTGATGTTCCATTTTTCTAGCCAATTCTAATTCAGTCAGATAGGTGAGTATAAATTATATGCATAACAATGCACAGCTAAATTATTTAAATAAATTGAATTTGAAGTACATACTATAAAAATTATTGTTTGTCCCAATAACATACGTCATGGTTATATTATCGCATTATAACTTTTCTTTCTTAAGTTTTGATAACTAGAATTGGAATTACCTTATCGATTTATTTTTACCTGTTAAAAAAATATCGTTACAGAGGGACAGAAAAGCATGAAAAATGATTTATAATGTTACCTTTAACTTAAAATATGGAGAAGTGCTAGAATACCCCTCTAGTGACAAATTTCTAAACTTCGTTTTAAATGTAATATATATTAGTAATAATGTGTAATGCAGTTAATATTCTCAATTTGATATTGATAAAATGCAAAGTTTTTATAAAAATTTTCAAATTTAAAAATAATTTATTTTATTACTTTTTGAATTCCCTCTCAATTAATGTTTCTGTATTATACGAAGAATCGGACACATCCATTAATGGTTTCGAAAGTGCAATATATCAAACTAAAATAAATTAATTAGTTAAAAATTTAATATGTAATATAAAATGCGCAGTTCATATTCTAGCTACTGGATATTAAATTTGTACTTATGTTAGAATTAATCGAAGACGTTTACGATCTTGCCCGATTTACGAATATACCCCACTTCAATTTACTGAGATATTTAATGCATTTTACGAAGTGAAAGTTTCGAGTTATTAAATTTTTTAATGTAATTACGATTTACAATTATTTCAAATGATCTTTTGGCACGTTTCAGACATGATGTGGTTTAATTTCTTCTTGTAGAAAGTTACACGGATGAGAAAATTTTACAAGTAAAACAACACTAAACCCAAATATTTCATCAACCATTTGAATAGATAATCTAATTAAAATGAACTTGCTGTTATCGAAGTTATCGCTCTCCAGTCGTTTCTCAAAAATTAGTGTTTTCTCCAAGTTTATGATAAATAAATTAAAAATTTACATTTGTTCGTATTGGCATGATTAGAAGAAAAATTATTTTTTCTTATTTTTACCATTTGAATATTATAAAGGTATTATTCAAGTGTTGTTGACCGTCAGTAAGGCAGTTAAAAGGATGTTACTATAATAATTATGTTTAAACGTTGTTTACATAAGCCTGACAAAGTTTATATAAATGAATAAGTTTAAAGAAAAAAAGCATGTTAATTCTCAAGATACTTGAACGTGTGACAAACAATATTAAACAGAAGGTGCTAGATTTTATCCGAAAAACGCATCTCATACAGATATTTATGTCCATGTTTACTCGAAACACATACTTAACATAAACGTGTGCACCACAAACTGGCAAGCACGTGCTTTTACTTCCACTTAACTGCTTGGTTAAAAAAATAGGGGACATATTTAAAAAATAATCAAAATATAACGAGTGTGGAAAAAAAGATATTTAGCACCAGAAAATTGATTTCGGTCGATATACAGCGTATAATGGTAGCTGGCTACCTTCAGTGAGATTAATCAATTAAAATATTCTGTTTATGAAACATACAGCTCATTGTACGAATGCAACAATGCAATTTTTTACGGATCTGAAAAAAAACTCTTCCAAATGTTTTACTTCTGTATTCGTACTTTCAAGCAACTAATAGATAACACTGCGTGGCAGTAAAAAAAATTCCTGAGATGTTATGATGGTAAGAAATTCGAGGACGCTGATTCCGAAAAAAAGTAACCAATCTGCTAGTATTACCTCAAACTACAATGGAAAATAAGACATATGTAATTTTTTGCCTTTAATAGTCTTTTTATATAATTTTTGAGCATGGACAAAGCCATCATGTGGACGTCCCACCTCTCCTAATATCGCACCTCCAAAGTCCTAATGCCTTGGTAGATTTTCTCGCTCGACTCCCTGGATTTCTTCTCGATTTTATTCATAGAACTAAAGAACCGTGGAGTTTTTATGTGTTGCCTTATTTGGGGATTATCGAATTTATTAGTTTTTAATTCTTGCTGTCATTTGTTAACGTTGGTCTCTCAATTCATCACATGGTAGACTGAAGGTTTTGATATTCTAGATTGATCATCATTAGCATGGATAAGGGATCGTAAGTAGATCCAAGGCCATTGAGGTCATGGAGTGTGACCTCTTGCTTCTATTGCCTGAATTTATTCCATTGATATTTACCATTGATAGCATTTTTTTCTTCTGAATAAGAACGTAATCAGACTACGCAATTTTGGCACAGTATAAAAAACTCACATTTTACCTTGATTGCGCAGTTTTGAAATGGTTGTAATAGGCTGTCTTTACGCAGTTCGATATTGGTTTTTAGTACTTGTCGAAAACATTCACCACAGATGTATAAAAAACTGTTAGTCCAGTCATTTAAGCTTAAATTAGGTAAAAATCTTGGAATTCGAGATACCCGGCTGTACGTTTGTAAATACTTGTATAGTGACACCTAAAAGTTGTCACAAAACCTACATTTGAGACAACTTTTAGGTGTCAATATACAAGTATTTACAGGCTTACGGCTGGGTATCTCGATTTCCGAGGTGAACATACTAATGACGACTATATCTAGATTACGCATAGAACATCTTAGAGTCGGAGTCATTTGAAAAACAGCTGATAAAACTCTTCGTCATTCGTTAAACTGCGATAATCATAGCCAACTTAGATAAGGAAATGATAGCCAAAGTGAGTAATGAGGGTAGTTCCGCAAAACAGGATCTGTTACGGAAAAACGGAAGGTATATTTGAAATCAGCGTACAATTCTAAGTAGATGTAAAAAAAAGTTCGAGGGGAAAAAACAAGAATGCCATTTTTGTCGCTCAGTGTATTATATGTTAAAAAAACTTAATTTCCTGTGAAGCCAATAAATTTACCAAGCATTCACATTCACATTCAGAATCACATCAGAGAGCGTATAATCGTCGCGTGGTGCAAATGGAAGAAGAAAGTCAGAACGGTGATGAACGGCGATCGATGCATCAACGGCGGCACATGACAAATGAAAAGGATTATCACAACACACATTGTTGTCGAGAATATGGTAAGTCATCGTGGATTATTACGATCGCGTAATTAACAAATGGTAAAAGGCGACGGACCGAAAACCAACGAGAAGATATCTCCCATGGCACACAGAAAACTAATGACATATAATATTATAGTACTTAGCAAATCGCAAACACAGAACATCAAATCCTATGCAGGAACAATATAATCGAATGACACATCTATAACACATATTTCTTTAAGAACAATTACATAACTACAACTATATAATTTTTTTATCATTTTTAATTAGAATC